GCTGTTTCCTCATGTCCTACTGCTATTTTCTGTAAAAGTTCGAGCGCGTCCACGAAGGATTGTAGTTTGCCTGTGGTTCCGTCAAATTCACTTGGTAAGATTTTGCTTGCAATGTTTAAAAATTCATTGATGCTAAGCGCCATGGTTTCTTCTTGTTCCGTGTCACTTTGATCTTCTTCTATATTCTTATCAATCTGTTGATTTATCAGATTAGGAACTAATATTCTGGAATTTATAGCTTGGAATGATCGTATGACTTTGTCTCGGTTTTTGTTGAAGTATCTCTTACAAGTTTCTCTCTGGATATCAGTTAGTGCATCCCAATTTTTGGTTATGAGGTGTACCAATCTATTATAAGCTTCAATTATTTGTGTCGTTATCTCAGTTTTTACCTCCTTGCTTTTAGGTATCTCCTTTTTTAACACTCTTTTGCTCTGCTTAGTAATATCCTGCGTAATGGCTTCAAGTATTTTGACAAAATCTTCCCAACTGCTAGGCATTTAAGAACGAAAACACAAATCCGATAGTCTTATGTAGTACGATAAAATTCGAGAATAATGTAGCAAAAAAAAAAAAATATAATATCGTCAAATACCCATTAAAATTCAATAAATTCAATAAATTTAAATAAATTCAATAAATTAATAAATTAAAAATTATCCATACTAAAATATAAGTGAAATTATCTTTAAAAAGTCATAAAAATAATAATTAATATTTAACAAAGTAACTGCTATGTTAATATACGTGTGAGGAAGTGCAAAAAAAAATAGATAATATGCAGACTCACCACTTAAACGTCTAAATTTGTTGTTGATCTCGCTGCCATGTCCCGGTGTATGCTCCGCTTCATATTTCTCCTATGCGCCTTCCATAACGACCATACCAATTTTAGTATCAGGACCGTGGTAATGATGTATAAGAGTACCTTTATTTCTTCGCCTGGTCTGACATCTTTACTTTTTACTATGAAGTTGCTGTTGACAACTCCATTCTCCTGTAGATCTTCCTTGGATGACTTTCCTCCCATTCTGTACTTCTGGAACGAAGACTCCTGGTTTCTACCAATTCAGGATCGCCATATGGTAAATATTATCTTGGGTAGTAAATAATATTGTTGTAACTAGTTGCCCATTTATTAATCACTGCTTTGTACAATACTTCACTATTATAAACTTAAATATATCAGTACTTAATTGACGCTGGCCATCGTGTCGGTATAATAATTAAGATCCCGAGAGAATGTTTGTTGGGGCTTTTATAGTAGTCCTTGCTATATCAGCAAATGTTTACTTATTAGTATGTCAAGTTTGTTCATGACCTACGCCAAGCATGTGGTGATCGGCAATAATAGTGCTGACTACCAGTTCTAATTAGAGTATGTTATTTATGAATGTCCTTGATTCAAATTACCGAATGTTTACATAAACAAATGTTACACGAGTATGAATTATAATATTATTTATATTTCTATATCTTATCTATTTATATATCTGTAATTCTGATATTTAAGGGTTGATATTACAGGCTTACCTCAAGGCTCAGTGCTAGCTCCTTTATTATTTAACCTTTATACAGCAGATATACCTGAAACAAAATCGAGAAAATTTGCTTATGCTGACGACCTGGCCATTGGCTTCCAAGATAATAGTAAAGAAGCAGGAGAACGAGCTCTAAACGAGGACTTATCTACACTAAGTAACTATTTTAAGAACTGGCGCTTACGTCCTAACACAAGCAAAACTGAAACCTGTCTCTTTCACCTGTCGAATCAACTTGCGGGCGATACTTCTCAATGTAACTCTAAATGACACAGCTATCAAACATAACAACAACCCCAAATATCTAGGCGTCACACTTAATAGAAAACGCACCTTCAAAAGTCATCTTACAAACGCAGCCGGTAAACTAAGAACACGAAATAACTTAATATCAAAACTTGCTGGAACAACTTGGGGTGCTTCTGCAGATACTCTTCGGACCTCTGCTCTAGCTTTGGTTTTTTCAGTGGCAGAATATTGTGCACCAGTATGGCTAAATAGTGCACACACAAGCAAAATCGATGTCCAACTTAACCAAACCATGAGAATAATCACTGGAACAATAAAATCAACGCCAGTGAGATGGCTGCCTACTCTGAGCAATATTGCTCCACCAGATCTACGCCGTACAGCAGCATTAGTGAGAGAGTACCAGAAAATTGTAGCCAACGTACAATTACCAATACATCAAGATATCCCAGACATCTCAAAAGAGCACAAACGATTGAGATCTAGAAATCCTCCAATACGATCTGCCCGAAAAATTGGTAATTCCTATGATATACATAGGCAATGGACAACAAGATGGATGCCAACAGTAGAATCGGACTATATTAAGATATCCACCCCAACTCAGGGTTTCATCCACCCCAATCGTATACGTACCGGACATGGTAAATGTGCTGATTCGCTGTTCAGGTGGGGTCGTGCAGAAAGTCCACAGTGCGATTGCGGAGAATCTAGACAGACCATAAGCCATTGTGTTTCAGACTGCTTGAATCGTGCCTACCGTGGAAACCTCCAGGACTTTGCGGAATGTTCCCCAGAAGCAATTGAATGGCTATGTAAATTGGACATTAATATTTAGTGTCATTCATTCTATTCATTCTATTTTTACTATTCTTAGTGTTTGAATAATATATATAATATATATGTGTATATTATTGTAATTGTATTTGTATATTTATCGTACTGTGAAAGTCCATAACGTATACACTCTGTCCTGTGCAGCTGCGATCCAGTTTGTCACTATTCTTTTAATGTCGTCCGTCCATCTGGTAGGTGGTCTTCCACGATTTCGCTTGTTTGCCCTTGGCCGCCATTCTAAAATCTTCTTTGTCCATCTGTTGTCTCTCTGTCTTGCGACGTGTCTTGACCATTTCCACTTCAACTTCGTAATCCGTTTTATGACGTCTTCCACTCCAGTTCTTCGCCGTATCTCATCATTTCGTATTCGGTCTCTCAAAGTTACGCCAAGCATAGATCTTTTCATTTTTCGTTGTGCTACTTGTAACTTTTTTATTGATGCTTTAGTCAATGTCAGTGTTTCAGCTCCATAAGTGAGCACCGGAAGTACGCACTGGTTAAATGCTTTTCTCTTTAGCTTTATTGGGATGTTTTCCTTAAACACGTCTTTTAGCTTGCCATAGGCTGCCCATCCTAAAGCTATTCTTCTAGATAATTCGCATGTTTGGTTGTCTCTACTTATTTGTATTTCGTGGCCCAGATATATGTATTTGTCAACCGTTTCAATATGCCAGTTTTCTAGTTTCAATGGTCCACTAGGTACTAAGTTGGTCATCATTTTAGTTTTCGCAAAGTTTATTTCCAGCCCTACTTTTTGGGAGACTCGTTGTAAATCTTGTAGCATTTCGTTGGCCTCCTTTAGGTCGTCGGTTATTAGAACTATGCCATCTGCAAATCGTAGGTGGTTCAGCCTTTCGCCATCGACACTCAAACCTCTGTTTTCCCATTCTAACATCTGGAATGCATGCTGCATTACGGCATTGAATAGTTTTGGTGACATGTTGTCTCCTTGTCTAACTCCCCTTTTTAGTTTTATTTTTTGAGTAGGGGTGTGGAGGTTTATTGCTGTTGTGGCATTTGCATATATATGTTGAATAATGCTGGTATATCGGTAGTCGATTCTACAATCTCTCAAAGCTCTTAAGATAGCTACCATCTCGATAGTGTCAAAGTCTTTTTTATAGTCAACAAATACTAGAACTAGTGGCCGGTTGTACTCTATAGTTTTTTCAATTAGGGCCTTTAGACAAGTTAGATGGTCATTTGTACCATACCCAGGGCGGAAGCCTGCCTGTTCTCTTGGTTCTCTTAAAGAGAAAATAGTCACGTTTTAATAAACATAGACCTACCCTGGAAAATATCACCAGCGCCGACCTGGTTTAAATCACGAGGACTCAGCAAAAACTCGACCTTGGCACTACAACCGGCATTTGAGAATAGGCATTCACAAAAACCGAACGAGGTTGGCCAGCGGGGATCAGTAGTATCGAGGGAGCGCTCGAGGCAGTAATTGCCGGCTCTGGGAACGCTCGGACGCGGTAGCGTCGAGGGATCAGTAGTATCAAGGGAGCGCGCGGGACAAGTAGTGTGCAGCCAGCGCTAGCAGGGGGTCAGTCAGTATCTTCGGCAGGGCTGTCAAGACGAGAGGCGACACCAGGTGCGGATTACGCGCAATTGTTATATTTCGACGGGATATAGTTCCGTATAAGTGTCGGGTACTGGGAGTTCGAAAATCGCGACAGAGCGCGGTACCTCCACAACTGAAAGCGATTTCCAGAGGAACTGAAGGGCGTATCATTAGCTAGATCCTAAATACGCGAAAGGTAACAAAATTCTATATACTAACCCGAGTAAATTATAGTAGTACAGATTGTCACCCCTTTACTTTCTTGTTAAGATCTCTTCTTGTCTCCCTTCGCGCCGAACAAGTTATTATTGATTATATATGACAGCTTGTTAACTTAATTGTAAACCACATAGTATATTCAATACATTGTAGACTCTAAATTTGGTTTTTATGTTCCTTCCGGCCGATTCAGACAGAGACCAGAAGAGTACCAAATTTCTGCTTATACATTTATCCGGCTTCTAAAGTAAGCCCATAGACTCAACTATTTACAGGACCTGAGACCTAGAAGTCCTTAACCCCTATCCCGGAAAGTCCCTACCTTCTCGTAAAGCCACGAAGGCGAACCAGCCAGTTCAGACTATTGGGACCAGTAAGCCTTGCAGCCGCTCGCAGGGATAAGCATCCTTTAGGTTCATATCGAGGATGTTCCAGTGGTGACAGCGTTGTACAGTGGTGACAGCGTTGTACAGTGGTGACAGCGTTGTACAGTGGTGAAGATTTTCTCACCCTCTAGCTCAGATTTACAATAGGGTATACACCCCCGAGTTGTACACTTATATGAACAATTAAAACAAATAACTTACCCAAGCATGTTAGTTTCGCAACTGTATTTGTGGTACTAGTAAATTTAAGAAGTTCCTTTGTTAAAAAGCGTTCTAAAAAAAATAAATAAATTTTAGTTTTATATTTAAATACCATAGATACGTAGTTTCCAAGAGGTATTTCCAAAAGTGTCCAGAAAGTAATAGAAAATATATTAACTGACTCATTAATTAATTTGGCATAATTAGAATTATGCCAACGTTCATTAGGGTGTCCTGAAAAATCGCTTTTTGTTTTTGTTTAATACAAGACCTCTTGAAATTGGGGTAATTGTTCGTAAATTATCACAATAATTTAAAAAAAATTAAAACAACATATCTTTAGGGTCCTACCGAACTTTAAAGTTTTGAAAAATTGTCATTTTTATGGTAATATTTCACTATACCTAATTTCGCATCCTGAACTAAATATAAAACATTATTTAATGCAAGACCTCTTAAAATTTATGTAATTGCCAATTGAATATCACAGTATTTTTAAAAACAAAATAAAAATATATCTTAAGGGTTCTCCCGATCTTCAAAGTTTGGCAAAATTGTCATTTTTGTGATAATATTTTTTCGACTCCAGAACTAAAATAAATTGAGATACGATTGAATACTGCGTCGTATTATACGTTCGGTTAAAGTTTAGAGAATTCTCTGATCTTTGGTACAGACACAGTATAGTATAGTGCTTTAAAAGAATCAGTAGGTTCACTCTCGCATTTTTACGGTTCCAATTTGGAATCCACTCCTGGACCGTGCCACACCATGCGCAATGGATTTGGCGAAAAATGACGCTGTTGCAAGATTTCAAATATTCCATCAGTTTCAAAGAATATTCCAAATTTATAATAAAATAATTAGTATAGAAGTTCTTCAAAAAGAAGAAAATAAATTTCATAAATGGTAAAATTCTTCACATACCCACTATACACACTTCTAAAAGTATAAACACATAATTGTAAAATTTTGAAAAATGACTTTATTGTGTTGGAGGGCTCAAAACTGCATTTTCTATATATTCTTAAATCATCATAACTGTACTTACGGAATCACCGTAATATTACGAAGGATTTTTTTGCCTATTTATAACCGTTGATGAAACATGGGTGCATTATTACACACCGAAAACCAAAGAACAGTCGAAACAGTGGAGTACCTAAACGTGGCAAGGCAAAGAGTGCACATTCGGCCGGCAAAGTGACTGTTTTCTGAGATGCGAAGGGCATCATCCACATCGACTACTTGGAAAAATGAAAAACAATCAATGGTGAGTACTACGCAGCATTATTAGATGGATTCGATGCCGAATTGCGTCGAAAACTCAAATCGAAGAACATGCAGAACAAAAAAATAACTGCAAGCGCTAGATGAGTGCAGGACACGAAAAATAATGTGGCGGTGTTATTTAGAAATAAAGATCTTCTAACGAGTGCGTAGCATAGTCAGGGACGAGAATTATATACTCATTAAAATGAAGATATTTCAGCTGGCATGCTGCATATGTCAAAATACTCCCCCCCCCCCCATTAGAAGATACTAGGACACAATAGATGAAATTAAAAACACCGCTATCAGAGAAAAGCTGGTCCAGATCGCAGGGGACATCAACGTCTAATCAAACCTAGATTAAAGTGCTCTCTTATAAACGACGAAAAGGAAGAGCTCTGGAACGAATGCTAAACAACATTTAGCCACGATTCATAAGAAGGGCCAGCTAAAGACATATAAATGTAACCCTAGCAAGCGAAGGGCTATCCAGATAAATAACAGGCTGGGATTTCATTAACGAATATTTATTCACCTACCATCACTATATAGCTTACGAAATTAAACGTAAAGGGGGGAGAATAAGACGGCCAATAGGACTAACAGAAAAGGCTTTTAACAAGAACGTGTACCTATCGGAGGTCAGAAATACAAACGATGAAGAAATTTCTGAAGTTGGTCAACTAAGAGAGTCACTAGTGAACGCTGTTGAGTTAGCTAACACAAGCTAAATAAAGAAAAAACATACTACTGCTCGATCGATGGGTTAGAAGGCCTACGGAAGGAGTGTTTCAGAGCACGCCGGAATTTTACAACACGAAAAGGCACCTCCGAGCTCAGACAAACATATAAAACCGCCAAGAATTAATAAACCAATAAAGAAAGAAAAAAAGGAAAAGTCCCAAAGCCTAATAAAAGTTCTTGAGAATGGCATATGGGGTGATGCATATAAGATCACCATAAAAGCTAATCCGCAATATAGAGTAGAACAAGACCAGCGGCAAGCAACCGCTCAATTCCTATCCCCTGCCAAAGAAAAACTCATTTTTAAAGATCTTTTCTACGATCCCTACGATAATGGAGGAATTTACTGAAGATAAGATAAAAGCCGCTAGTCAAGAAATCAAAACGGGGAAAGATCCCGGCCCTAATAGTCTGCCACCAGTACTGAAGATAATGGCAACAGGGAAAATAGGTTTGATCAAAAGAGAATTCAACAATCTGCTGCTGGAGTAAGAGTTTCCCAGGGAATTATAGGAAGCAAACAGTTTTGCTTCTCAAGCCTGGAAAATCCCCCGATTCAGCATCTTCTTACAGGCCAATATGCCTACTTGACTGCATTGGCAAGCTTTACGAAAATCTTGTCAAGAAGATAATGGAAGGCGTGTTGGCAAGGGAGAGAGGTTTATCCAGTCAGCAATTCGGATTCAGAAAGGGTCGATGAGCAGTTGACGCTGCAGAAGTAGAAGGGGGTGGGTAGTCCTTGTTCTACTGGACATTACATACGCTTTTATTTAATTCGGCGATCTGGGGTCTCATAGTCGACAAAATTGGCGAATTTGAGTCCCCAGAATATTTGTATACCATAATTAAGGACTACTTATCAGAAAGAAGCGCATAAATAACAAGGAGAAGTAAGATAAAGATGACTGCTAGAGTACCCCAAGGGTCAGTACTGGGACCCACTCTTTGAAATATCTTATACAACTGGTACTGTAAGTAAACAGAACACAAGGGGGTAAGGGCAATATAATAAAAATATGTGTAGCCTCGGAAATCTTTTTTGGGTGGTGCTAGAAAGATAACCAATGGAGACACTGCGGACGGCAGCCAGATGGTTGGTGGAGAGCGAGTCGTGGGTTCGAATTTAGCTTTTGGAACCGGGAATGGATCCAACGGAAGAAATAGATAAAGATAGGATAAGAGATATTAGAAAAGATACAGAAATAAACAAAAAGATAGATGGGTAAAATTACCAAAGATAAGAGAAGATGCGATGAAACAGGGCGCCACTCAATTTTTTGGCGTTAAGGAGAAAATTAAGAAAACCTTAGAAAAGAAAAGAGATAAGAAAAGATATTTAGGTTCAGAGATCAAACCCAAGGAAAGGTACCAACAGTAAATTATCAAATAAATCTGGTCAACGCAATATATAAACAAATAATAAATATATTAAGTATTACACTTACTTACCTACGAAACTTAATCAGCCTGATCTTTCTACAGTTCAAAAGCATATAATTTAAAGATAGTAAATTGTTCAGAGCTATTATTTTATCAGGGAACTTGTTAGGAGCCGACAAATAAAATACATGCATCAAACAATAACAATATATTAAACACAAAATTATGATGCTGCTAAATGCAACACAAGTAATAAAAATACACAACTATGAAATGGTGTTATATGTATAAAATTAAGCAATAATATAATAAAAAAAAATACCTTTACCAAGATATTATAAGGCAATCATATACAAATATAGTTTGGCGTATCTCGAGATATCATAGGAAAGATAATGAACAAAAATTAGTGCATAGGAAATACAAAAGATAGCAAAAATTACTTAACTCTAAATTTACAAAAAAAAACAAAAAGGTTACAAGAATGAAAACATAAACCAAACCGCACTTGGCTAAGTCAATTAAATATCTCGCACTATTATTTAATAAAAAACTGAGACTTGTATGTTCATAGGTAATATTTATAGAAATTTCTTGAGTGGTTCAATTACATTCAAAAATCGGCAATCTACAGGTGAAGATATCGATGATACGTCAAGATAATGGCAGGTGATATGGTACCATACCATATTACTCGCCCAGATAATTGTAGATAAAGATTACTTACGTAGATCTTGACGAAGGCAGCTTAATTCACTGAATTTATTACTTTTCTGGTACTAAACACTGAATTTAATAACCATTAAAGGTAGTGTAGAACTATATATAATTTAATATAGTCTAAGGAAAGAAAACTCAAATATAAAGTGTATACACACTTAGAAAATAATTCACAAAGAAGATACGATAAGAAATAAAGTGAGCACAGCGTAACACGAGATATTGCTTCACTCAACAACGGCCCACCAACAAGTAACACGAGATATTACCTCACTCAACAAGAGCCCACCGAGAAGTAACTTGGTTCCACTAAAAATTTTCACCAACTATCCAAGAAAAAAGAAGAAGAAGGTATATCCCCCACTTAAAATCATCGGACAGTCGTATGTATTTCTCAGAAGATAAGGCCTTAACGACTATTGGAAACTTTGAGGTAAAATAATCGGTATTAACAATTGGACATAAGAAACAGACAATACTTGGGATTAAGTTATTGTCAAAAGAAACGGGCCTTCTACGAAAATTACCAATTTATGAAAAGGAAACTGCATACCAAAACGCATTATACTCTTTTCATAATGAATATTATGACGGAAGGATTAAAAACCATTCCTAATTAGGGAATTCCATTTTAGCTGGGTATCTACAATATTTTGCTATCGATACACGATCATAGGCGTATCGCACGGGGGTAAAAGGAATTAGAAATATTTAATATATTAATAATAAAAAAAAATGTTACAGTTTACACAGATGATCTAGCTCTACTCATTGAAGATGATATGAATTGGGGTAAAAGTAAATATGGCGTTGGAAAAAACCACGAGATAGATAGAGAGAAACGATCTAAAATTGCCAGTAGAAAAGACCGAAATAAATATCTTGAGAGGACCGCTAGACCGGAAGTATGTAAGCTTCCAGTTCAGGGGTTCCGAAATAAGATACTAGAAAACCGCAAAATACCTTGGACTGGGACAAAAGAGAGGACTTCAACCCTGCACAAGATCATGCCAAACACAAGAGGCTTCGGATTGCATAGAACAGCTGTCATCTTAAATCGATAATGTCCATAATATTATATGGGACCCCAATGGGGCTAGATACAGAGACATGCTTCTTAGAGCACAGAGAAAACCCTTGATAAGAGTGTGCAGTGAGTACAGAACAGCATAAACCATTACAACTATAGGTGATAGCTGTGCCTGTGCACATTCTGGTTAGCGAAAGAGTCTGAATGCACCGGAGGGCCAACGGGGCCGCAGGTTCAGGACCAGAAGAAATGGAAAGAAGCTTGGAAATGTGTCAGGATCAGCGGTCAAGGATCAAAACGGGCAATGCCGTCTGGACAAGGGCTCTTATCCCTGATATAAAGAGGAGGAATAAATGCAAACACAGGCGCGTCAAATATTACTTCACGCAGTTTTTGTCGAGGCATGGGTCATTCCGGTCGTTTATATATTGTATACAAAAGACCTCTGAAGACATGTGCACCGAGTGTGGTGTGATAAATGACGCGCACCACATGATTTTTATATCTACCTATAAATATTGATGTGACTAGATATGAAGAGGATTGTATGATTAAAGTGTTGTTCCACAACGTTAGCGTGGGTCAGTAGTATGTGTTAACAAATATATTTCGCATACCAGTCATGAGTGAATTTAAATAGAATTTGTTATGAGTTCAACATGTTCAAATATGTAACAAACTCAAGATTTAAAATAAATACTAAAGATTATGACTGGTAAATTATATGGAAATGTGACCCATTTTATATTCAACTATAAAAATTTCAAGAAATTTCACTTAATAGTTATTGCAAAATTGAAATTGTTTATCCCAGAAAGGCTTTATTTAAAACATTTAATTGACACATTAATTTTCATGGCATATCTTGATTTGTAAAGATTAAGTTTTAATCGAATGGTATTTATTTAAAAAAAGTATTAACTTTTTATTGAGCAAAGTGGAATAGTACTAGTATTCCCTAGACATTTTTGACGTATATATTTGGAGTAAGATACCGCAACTTATGGTACTTACTAATGCTTACTTACCAGATAATGTTGTAGATATAAACTTCAATGATTTCTCGCAATTATCATCGCTAATCTCTACTAGTAATTGTGCAAAACGTCTCAGTACAGCTAGATTATCTCTAAAATTAATAGCAAAAATAATATATTGTTTTCACAAAGTTCCATGAAGTCCCATTTATTAAAAGATCCACTCAATGGTGAATATAAAAAAGTTAAAAATGCTTACGCTTTAAATTTTTCAGAATCGTTGCATACATTCAAAATATTTTGTAAAATCAATAAAAAATCCTCGTCTGACTGCATCATAGATACCGTTTTTTCTAACAGTTCCAAATCTGTCATCTTGGGTCCATATTCCTTTTTTTGTAGTAACATCGGCTCGAAATCAACAGTACTACCGGTACTAGCTGTAGAATATATATTGGAGTCTTGAAACATGCTTTCTTGAAACATGTTTTCTCGAAACATACGATGAAGCAAACCAAAATTTAAAAATGGATTCATTTTTGTTTCTTCCTTCACTTAACGATAGTTGCTGCAATATTCAACTTCAGTGGTTCCTTATTTTATCTGATGATTGGTGTCGTTATATTGAGAAACGTTTTTTTTTTGTTTTTTAAATTGTTTTTTTTTTCTTTCTCTGCAAAAAAAGACGCTAAATTAATAAAAAAAAATCAAAACAGGTATTCTCAAAATATAATGGTTATTTATATTTTTATTCCGGAAATGTGCAAAGACAATGATTTCGCGTAAATAAACAACCGGTTTTATACTTTAAGAAGGATAAAAATATTTGTTTTAAAACTGATATTGGTATATTAGGTAAAATTGGTAAATTTTAATAATGTCTTAATATCTTAATTTAATTAATGCAAATTCAAATTGTATCCTTATTTTCTATCTATAAAAAAATTTCATTCATTCGATGAAGGTCGGGTATTTTCGTTTTGATATGGCGCGTTATAAAAAATATACCGTCGGCTTACAAGCGAAACACACTAAGTCAATTTTTTTCACTTTTGAGTTATTTGCAGCACTTTATTGTATTTTTTTACTCTTTAGACTGGTTAAACGGTTATTTTTATAAATATCATGTTTCTAAGTCTCAAAAACTATATATGATTCAGGCAAAACACACTAAGTGACTTAATGTATTTCACTTGACTACGAATGAACCTACCAACTGACTTACGCAGAGCAACTTGTATAATCTTGTAAAAAAATAATTATTTGTTTGGGTATATTGCATAGGTTTTGTCAGTTTTGTTCCAGTGTTTTGCGTGATTAGTTCGTTAACACTTTTGAATTTTGCGTGTATTTATTAATTAATTTCTGTAAGAAAAATAAAATTTTCTGTCGAACTACCTACAGCGATAAACAAAGACGTGAGCCTAAATTCTGATAATTTTTGTCAAGATATTCAGTCAGGTCCTCCTCAAATAAGTGGCCAGGATTCTGATGAATGTATGGAGGATAGCGACTATATTCCTTCAGGTAATGAAAGTGATAATTTAGATACCAGCGAAGGAAACTCTACAGCAGCCGAGGAAAAAACAAATTCAAATGAAAATAGTCAAGTAGGACCTAAAAGAAGCCGATGGAACACCCCAAGACCATCTGTGTGGAAAAGAAATGTTGAAAAAAGCAAACGAGTTGAAGGAAAACCCTACAAAAGTACCACTGGTAGAATGCAAGCTTCTAAAATTCCAAAAGCGGTTGATTGCTCTAAATGTCGATTTAAGTGCCAAAATAACTTTTCTGAAGAGAACCGGAAGTTGCTATGTCAAACTTATGCGATGTTGTCATTTCAAAGACAGAAAGATTTTATATTATTGAATGTGCTTTTTAATGAAGTAAAGAGTCGCAGGCTTAGAAAAGCAGAAAATTGCAAAATGCGATCCAACGCAAAATCCTACTTTTTTCACAAATATGGGAAAGAAAAGTCAAGTGTGTCAGAAATTTTTTTGTAAAACATTGTCTATTTCTAATATGCCTATAATTAATGTCTTTAAAGAGCAAAATAAAAGCGGCGAATATAGTGGAATAGACAGAAGGGGCCGTAGAATTCCTGGCGATAAAACTTTAGTGGAAACAAGAATAAGAGCAAAAAAACACATTGAAAGCTTTCCTGTTGTAGAAAGTCACTACACTAGAAAATCTTCGAAAAGACTTTATTTAGATGGAGCTTAATTTTAGGAGTCATTTAGACAGAAAAGAGGCTGCAATGAAAGAAAAAAATTCAGACAAAGAAGTATCGAAAAAGAATAAAAAATTAAAATCAATTACATGTGATATGCAAAGCGTTTTACAAATTTCATCATCGCAAGTAAGTCTCTTGTATTATCTTAGAAAGCTGTACATCTATAATTTTACAATTTAGGAATCTGTTCCACCAAATGAGGCATTCTGTTATTTGTTGAGTTGTCTGTGAGTTATGTAAGAGTGGAAGCTGTGAAATTGGTACTTGCCTAGGAATGTACATTAATTCATTATCTGATATAGAACATCTAACGATTTTTTTAGATACGTGTGGAAAACAGAACAGAAATATTTAAGTATCTGCTCTGCTTTTACATATTGTTAAAAACCCTCTGAGTCTTCGGATAATTGAGCAAAAGTTCATGGAAAGTGGACACTCCTATATGAAACTAGATTCCATCCATAGCGCTATGGAGAGTACCAAAAAATGTGGAGATTTTTAGTGTTCACGAATATGAAAATGTCTTTAAAATGGAGAGAATGGGCAACAATGGAAATAAAAAATCTTCCTATAATACTCGTGAAGTTAATTATAACGAATTCTTAGATTTGAAAAAACTTGCACAATATACTATTGTTAATAAGAAAGAGGATCAAAAAGGGCAAACGGTCAACTGGTTAAAGGTAAAGTGTTTTAAGTATGAGAAACAGTTTCCTAACATTCTACAGTACAAGTATAATTTTCACGACGAATATGAAAATATTAACGTTAGTTTTGTACGTCGTGTTTCTAACAGAAGAGTCAAAGAGGATAATAATAATGAAAATTTGGTTATTCCTCAATATTCTAAACAGCTTCCAATTTCGGATGCAAAGAAAAAAGATTTGATAAAGCTCTGTGAAAAAAATATAGTTCCGCAAGCGCTCCATACCTGGTTCAAAAATCTACCAAGTTCTTCTTCTGTTCGAGACCAAACAGCGGAGTCAGCTGAAAAGGACTCTGACGAAGAAGACTTTGAAAATTAGAACCATATTTTTTTTTGTTATACACGTTTTGTTTTGTTATATCTGTTTTTTTAATAATGTTCTTGTTTTGTGAAAATATACATGAAAAAAGTAAAAACTTATATAAGCAAAAGTTATTGTATTATTTACAATGTAAACGAAGCCTGAAATAATCGTATGACAGTAAGTAAATAAAAAAAAATACACGTAAGTCATACTTTCATAGCAAAATTATACAAGTAAAACACACTAATTTAAATGCTACATGTAAAAAACATTAAGTCAACGTACTTATTCAAATCGAAAATTAAACAAAAATTAATAATTTGGTAATATATCATTTACTTCTCCTCGTCAGTAATCATTATTAATACTTTATGAAAACTTTCGTATAATTACAAAACAACAAATAAAAGTTTTAAATGTGAAAATTGATCAAACTGTTTTTAAAAAAATTTAAAACACGATTATCTCAAAACTATATTTTTTGACTTAGTGTGTTTCGCTTGTAAGCCGACTACGTTCCCAGAGAATTCCTAGATTGACGCCTAAAGGTTAAAAGCCTGTCTGGGAATCCCCCAATATTCATTTATTTGAAATACTATATGTATTATATATACATAAATTACTCTGTGAATCCCACAATATTTATTAGCATAAAATTTCATATTATTCTTTACATTTTATTATTAAAAATGTAAACCAATAAACCAAATCTAACCTAACACTGGTAAAAAAGCAGTCATAAGAATAAAATGTTATAATTAAAAATAAAAGTTTTACGTTTCATAAGAAAACATGACAATAAAACTAAACTAACGTAACCAAATCTAACCTAACGTAACCAAATCTAACCTAACGTAACCAAATCTAACCTAACCCTGGTTAAAAAGCAGTAATAATAATAAAATTTTGTAATATAATTAAAAATCAAAATTTTTAATTGAATACATAGGTATTCAAAGTTGAAACAAAAAATTCAAATCAAGTATACCAAATCGGAAAGTTCATGAAGAAAAACACAAGTCAATTTTAGAATAAAACAAAGTTATCGATATCAACTTTAGACTAATATAAAATAATTAAAGAATTATTGTTACATTGCCATAACTAAGATAAAACAATGGAAAAACACTTAAGGACTGGCGGTGATGGTGATCATATTTTATGGTAAAATATCTACAGAATTGCATCAAACAGATTTAAATATAACGATTAATGCCAAAGACCATTTACACCAAGTAAATGGAGTAGATGGTCTTTGGATTGATGCCGTCATTTTTATCGACCTTGCGTCACGACTATGGAGTGGAGACCTTTAGTCACGACTACAATACAAGATAAAAAGGAAAATAAATAATTAAAACAAAAAATAAGGAAATTAAAATACTATCATTCTGATCCTGATCAAAATGATAAGGTAAAAAGAAAACAGAACATCCGGCAAGAGTTTCTTGATGTCTGGTTTTTATTTTTATGACATTACAGCATTACCACAAGACTCTACAAATCAGTAAATAAATGAATTTTTCCTGAAACTTCATCATAAGATGTAATTTTAAAAAATAAATTGCGAAAAGTTCATTAAGTGTTTATCAAAACAATAATAACCAAGTATAATATGGAAAAATAAATTAAACTTACAATATCTCGTCGTTAAATAACTTTTTAAATTTGTAACTAGTATACTAATCGTTTAGTTCTTTTCAGCTAAACGAGTCACCACAACCACAAACTAGAATCTAGACTCTCTAAGTCTCTACTAGACATCTCAATTCTCATCTAAAAAATTTAAAAGTAGAACTGGAATATAAAAATAATGAGTCAGCTATATTGTGGGACTTACACACATTCACAAAGAGGTGTGGTCTGTGGTCACGTGCGGTAGTGGTAGAATTTTTAAGTTGGTAAAAAAGGTTCGGAGAATAATTTAATTTATTTGAATAAATAGACTAAATAGTGTATGCGCTTGTGTAATTCTATTACAGCTACTTTTTATATTTTGTTTACCCATAACAAATAAAAAAAAACAATTTTAGTTTGTTTTAAATTTTATTTTTGTACTACTTACTTATACCGTTGATTGAATAATCCAAAAATTTGGATTATTCAATCAACGCTTATACAAATACAAAACAGCCTCCAATTGTCAACGTTGACGTTGACAGTTTATTAAACAGAAGAAATTTGGGATATACTTGTTGCTAGAGGTGGTTGATCCAAGTATTTTTGTGGATCAGGTCAAACTGATACGCGTAAACAAAAATACCTGTTAAAAAATACTGGTTTGGAAATCAGTTTGTTATCATTCGTTTAATAGACATCTAAGCATAACGATAACATTATTTGTATTTTGTTCGATTTCTTTATAGTTATTAAAATGACTGTTTAACTTTAAATACTTAAATTAGTGTTATTCAGCGATTGCATATAAAGTTCATAAAAAACGGCGATAGTCTTACCTACTTCAAGCCAATTGCCATCTGTTGATATTTATCTAAAGCTTTCTAAACGAAGAAATGCACGAGAAAAATTAAGGATAAATGCAATGAAACAATTAAATTGTTATATATTTATTTTTCATGTATATTTGTTGAATAGTCCACTGATCGACAAGGTGATATATCAATTATCATAATTGTATACAATTTCCTGATGAATATGAATTACAACAAATGAATACGCATAACATGATTATAATAAATTTTGGGAGTACTACATGAACAAAAAAAATAAATATTTGCAAATAAAATTTTATATATTTAATAATATGTATGTTTATTTTTGACAATGGTGGTTTTATAGATATGGATGAATTAATTTGGCAATGTCAACTTATTTGTGGTAAGCAGTGGCGCATCCAGGAGGCGTTTTGGGGTTAAACCCCTCCAGGACCCTATTCCGATACTGTTATTCACAAATTTTAAGGACTTAAAATGGTGGAGGTGGCATAAAAAAATTTCGGTGCCCGACCAAACCCCTCCCCCACTCCCCATGAAAATTCTAGGGGAGAAAGGCAATCAGCCGAAACAGCTGTAGTGATAATAGTTAAAATAAATTTTGTGGAAGTTTGAAAACGAAGTTTTCAGTGGTTTATTGTTACATAAAATGAATTTCCATCATATATATATATATATATATATATATATATATATATATATATATATATATATATATATCTTTATGTTCAAAGTTGCCATACAACGATCTTTATACAATTTAATTTAGAATATTTATTTGGTAAATGCCTTATATCATATTACATTCAGCTTATAAGATAAATTTAAACTTCATCCAGTAAGTTATTTTATCTATGGATATCGAATATAAGTATTGATATTGATCCTGCCTGATACCGATCCCGTCCAAGGTCCAAGTCCAGTGCGAGTACAATGTACTCGTACCCGTACTCGTTTATATTGTGTTAGGGATCAGTTCCACAAGTATAAATAAAATACCTGTTCCAAAGTAACTGGTACGGGATCAGGTCACCATCGCTATTGTTGCCTTTATATAAAATTTGTTATATATTAAATTTTCTTTCCACTTTCCAATTTTACAATGTAAATAAAATCCTAAAATTAACAAAATGGAACATAATAACGAGGATAAGGGCCTAAAAACTGATGATGCAATAAATAAATTATGTGCCGAACTATCTGCTGTTCTGGATCAATATGAAATCTCTCAAAAAAATAGGTAATAATTTGTATATTTCTACAAGAAATTTTATATTCACTTAAGTTTTGACTTTTAATAGTAAATAATACAATAACATTAATTTATCTTTTTTTGTACTTTTATGTCATATGTTCAGTTTTCTATTTAGAGGTTACAAACAAGGAGAATTTATATTGTTCAATGCCTTGGGATGCTGAATGGATAACCCATGTAAAATCTTACCAAAAGTTTTATATGGGCTATCCTATCCTCATACTTGTTCATTTTGATTTTGTAGGGTCATTGATAATTTTCTTTATATTGTTATTTATAGTACCTATACCTGCTCAATTTGAAGGAGCTCCACACTTCTAATGAATCAAGATTAGTTCCAAATAAGATTTTTACCAAACGTGAAGAAAGATGGATGTAGAGAAATAGCAAACAATCCTTAAAAAAGTGCACCAAAATTGTAGATGAGGTGGAAAGACTGAAAGTCTGAAAAAAAGGTGCAACCATGAAACAATTAGATGGATATTATGAAAGAAAAATCTACATTGCCGAACTGCTAGAAATAAACCGTTTATTAGTCAAAGAAACAGGCATAATAAATTGTAGTTTACCAGGGAGCATAATTAAAAAATATGAAAGCTAGGTAACTCATGGTGAAGTTCGTCTCATGATGCCGGGGTGTATGTCGTTCACAGAAGTAGGTAATATACTTTTATTAAAGGAAATATGAACCAGTACATGTCTTTGGATATTGTAAGGCAACATCTTGTCGCTATTGCTCAAAAGTTTGGTATCAATAACAATTACCAGTTTTATCAGGACGATCCATAACAAGTCATATCAGGTTTATACTTGGTTGCTTTATAATTGTCGAAACGACATTACAGCTAGCCCAGTTACCAGATTTGATTGGTATTGAAAATATGTGGTTAGCATTAAAAAATAAAGTAAATGGTACCACAATATCAAATAAAAATGAATTGAAAGTAAAAATTAATGAAACTTGGGACACAATTTCCCCAGAGTACACTAGAAAGTTTGTCAAATCAATGCCTAGACAGCTACAGGCTGTAATTGATAATAAAGGGGATTTACAAAATATTAGCAATCTGATACATTATGAGATATATGAAATATTTTCAATAATTCAAGCATGTTTTCTTTGTTAATTTTCTTGTTTTAAAAATTGCATCATTTTAGCTGTGACATCAAAATCGTACATAAAATAGCTAAATATTTATTGTTATTTAAGTATGGTATATTTGATATACAAAAAAAATAGCTTATGCTATTTTAGAAGAAGACTTATAGTAATTTAATTTCAGTATGTAATTTGTTTGTAATAAATATTGAGCCACTGACAGTTTTGTTGATTAGCAACTGCATCATTTAAGCTGTGAGCCACTATATATATATATATATATATATATATATATATATATATATATATATATATATATATATATATACAGTGGAACCTCCATTATCCGTCAGGGCACCGGACCAAGGGTATGACAGATAATCGAAGACGGTTAACAGAACATTAAAAAAATTCATAGTATAACTTTCAAATTTTATTTGTATGTTTTATCTGACAATACAAGAGGGATTTATGTTAGTACGGTCGAACCAGTTTAATTTAAAATATTCCGAAATCTTTATTTGTTTTATTGTACAACTCGACGAATTTTTGTATGTGCGATGCAGCTTGTCTAACTTCTCTACGCAAATCTTTGTTGCAATAGCATCATCAACATCGCCACCGTCAAAGTTTGTGTCAGCTTCTGAATCAGTTTCGTCCGCCTCTGTTGCCAAATTAACGATTTTATGATATGTTAGCAATCGATAGCCGTTTGCATCCTCATCACAAATTAACCATTCGTTTATGGCATCTTTAGGTAACGAAAACAAAACAGTTGATTCAACCATAACTTCATTTGTTACCGCATCATGCTCGGCTGTCACAGTGGCATTTTAATCTTGAGTTGATTCAGGTTAAATTAATTCCTCGCTCTTTTCAGCGTTAGTTACGAAACATCAGCCCAAGTATCCACAGCATTGTCGATTGCGTGTTTTAAATTGTGTGCTTTCCAGTATTCTGGCAAAGAATATTCCTCTTCCATAACTAGGTTTTGAATCAATTTTTTTCTGTATCTTCTTTTGAATGTTTTAATGACCGATTGATCCATTTGCTGTATCAATGATTTATTCGTAGGCAGAAAAGAGCACGTGATATTTCCATCATCACTTCGCAGCATACAGACTTCAGGATGAGCAGGGGCATTGTACAAAATGAGAAAAGCTAAAAACAAGACGTTAGAAAAATAGACAAACAAATTCTGGTTTGCAGTACATACATTTTTGAACCAATCAGCGAATATTTCCTGGGACATCCATGCATTATGTTGTGCGTAGTAGTTAACGGAAAGTGCGTTCCCATTTATACCCTTGAAACAACGTGTTTTTTTTTGGTGTACAAATCAATAATCAAGGAAGGCGATGGTCATCACTTGCATTTGAACACATCATTGCTGTAATTCGTTTATTTTGCGTTTTAAATCCGGGTGCATATTTTTCAGACAGTGCAGCGAGTGTTTTCGTTGGTAATGCTTTGTAGTTTAAACCAGTTTCATCCGCATTGAACACACGCGTGTCAAACCATATTCATCGATCATAGCTTGAAACTTTCAATACTTTCAAAGTTTGTTTCGTCAACAACTTCAATACTTGCGGAGCTCAATTTTTCACCTTCGATTTTCACTTCCCGTATACCGTGGCAATTTTTGAACTTTTCCAACCAACCGCTGCTTCCTTTGAATGAAGGATCGCCATTCAATTTCATGTTAAAGAACAACGCTTTTTCGGCAGCAATTGGTCCAGACAATGGAACACCTTCGCTTCTTTTTTGAACAAACAAATACAGAGCCGTGTCAAGTGATTCATTTGTGACGTTTTTCATTGTCTTACGATGTTTCATCCGGCCATCCAACGATTCCATTTGCGAAGCATACTTCAATTCCTTCAGCATTTTTCTTTAAATCGAATTTCGTTCGGCTTATCGCAATGCTCAAACAAAATAATTGATTACTAAATTTTTACTTAT